AGGCCCGCGCCGGGCACCCGGGGTGTCTCCGCCCTGGTCGTCGTGGGGTCCGCCTCGCTTTTAGCGGCGGCTTGCAGACGCCTCTCTGTTGTCCCCGGTCGGCCGAGTTTCTCGGGGGTGCGGGTCTCCCTCCCGGCGCTCCGCTTCGCCCCGGGAACCGCGTACTACTCCTGCAAAGAAAGCTGACGGCCGGGAGGGAGACTGGAGCTGAACCCCGGGGATTCTGCGTTTTTTAAAAAAAAAAAGCATGGCTTACTAAGAATTCAGTTTGCTACTGCAAATAGCAAGTCGCTTTTAAATTGAAGTTTCCTGCTTTAGCTTCTGTACTTTGAGCGCTTGACCCACTTTGAGTTTAATCTGCTTCACTATAGTTCCCCCCTGCTTCTGGAATTACATATCAAATACTGAAGGAGTGTTTAATAAAGCAACTTTGGATTTTTAGTTGATAAAAGTGAGGCTGCTTTTAATTTCATCATTCTAACCAGCTCCGTGTCAGGTTGCATCCCTATACTCGGGCTTGGATGCACTCAAATCCTGCCCAGGGATGGCCGGGAACATGCCGGTAGGGTACACTGGGAAATTATTGATCACTCAGTTCTCCTTAAAGAAACCTTTTAGAATAAACCCTCAAAATGAAAACAACCGAGAGCAAATACGTTTTCATTATAGTACGTGCCTGTGTGTGCCTTGTGTTTTCTTTTCAGTAGTGCCTGTTTGCTAAAAACTGAACCAGAGCAGGTGGAGCCATACTAGCTTGCTCTTCCTGACAGCTTTTTGTGCTTACAGGGATAGACATGAGTACCCCCTTTACGCTTTCACCCAGAGAAAAAAAAATATCTGCTGGGCTTCACCCACCCACTATTAAAGTAGAGCTTTGAAGTTTTGTTTTTCCATTTTAGCAGAATTTAAGGTTATGTCTAAAAGTGTTGTTGTGGAGCTTGTCTTGCCAATACTGGTGTGATTTGACAGGTGCTCAGAAGCGCACACACCCTCAGTGGTTTGTGTTAGCAGCTTTCAACTTTGAGTTGTAAGTGTACGAGATCACTCCTGTCTGTAGGGAAAAGCCTGAATGAATAGCATACCAACAGTTCGATTCTAGCGTAGGTGATAGTGAGGAATGAGGAGAAATAGCCCTTGATGTATTTCTCTTACCCAGATGGCAGAATTGTGTTTTACTTTGGTGCTCTCACCCAGAAAAGTATTGCTAAGGGAATGTTAGCTCCTGTATATCTTTACCAGTCAAATGATAGGATCTCCTTGAAATTTGCTTTGAGACTTAGCAAGTGTTTAGTATTTTCTGTTTGCCAGCACAAGCACTGAAAACATTCATACAGTAGCAGTTTCCTTAAGAGTGATGGAGAACGAACACAGCACTTTCTGTGCTTCTGTACAAGCACTTTGTTGGTATCTTTAAACAGCAGAGGGTTGAATATAATATTTCTTCTAGTTCTTCTAAAAGAATGACTTGGCATGACTGTTCAGTGAGGTTGAGGTGTGGTATGTGTATTCCAAACTGTACAGGTGTTGTTTAATTGCTACAGTTGACATTGAAATAGGCTGAAAATGCCAACGAGCAGTTTGTTTGAGTAATGCAAACTTGATGGTCTTGCAGCTTGCATCACTTTTTGAGATTTATTTTATGCTTTTTTTCATCTCCATTAAGGTCTTAAAATACAGCTGACTGCCATCGAAGTACGCTTGTCATGGCAGGTTGGGTTTTTTCGGAAAAACAGTTCCCTCCATCAATTTGGTTTTCTCCATGATTTAATGTAGTGATGCAGGTCATTTAGAACTGATATATCTCAACAGTTTCAAAGCATATTCTCTGTTCAAACTAGATCTTCTTGAACCTTTCCCAGAAAATCTGAGAAACGTCCAAATGTGTTTTGTCCAAACTTAAGTTATCTGTGACTGTGATGCTGGGGACGGTGTTTTCTTCAATTTGGTGATGTGCAGTGAACCTAGTAAGTATTATTACAGATCCAAAAGCTACTTCCAACCTGGTTCAGCTACGTTTTGCCACTCTTCCTGTCTACCAGCCCTTCCCATATGAAAACAAACTTCTTGGCAGCCCACCACCTATAGAAACAGATGCTGTAGTAAGATGTTTGAAGGGTTGGGTGCATGAGAGCTTCCATTGATGAGGGTGCTTCTGTTGATGGTATATTTTTTGAGGAGAAGTTGGAGGTAGAGGATGACCCTCTGACAACAGTTCCAAGTGCTGCTAAGAACTACTGTTTCATCCTGAGCAGCAAGAATAACACTGGATTTAGTTGTGCTTAGGAGAGATTTTAATAAATTTTAGTCATTATGCAAATCACTGTGTAGATGTGTACTATTTTCTCCCTCTTGGGTTTCTTTCTCCCCTCTTATGTGAACTGAGCTTCTGCTGGGGTTTTTTTTGCCTTTTAGCGCAGTTGGTAAAATGGGGTATATTTTCTTCCATCTCTAAATATCTAAGAAGGTAAAAAACTTTAGCAGCTGATTTAGTATTCTCCCTATTAAAATGTCAAGTAAGGTTTTCTCTTTTTGTGTATGCCTGCTGGTGTTTGGAAAATAAAATTGTACCAGGAAAACATCTGACCTCTAGAATAAAAGAAGAACCATGCTAAAGCCCCTCAGGTGGCTTCCTCTAAGTTTTCTCTTGATGGAAGGAAGAAGTTTGGCTGTCCTATATGCAGACATTCCCTTTCCCTATGAGATATGTATGTTTTTGTTGTTTTGTAGTTGTACTTTAGAGATAATAAACTGTTCTTTCTAATTATTAATGCTTTGAGAGAGAAAGCTTGCCAGTCAGCTGTTCTAGCACTTCCAATCCAAATGCTTTCCAAAGGATGGTTTAATTTTTTTTTGGCATTACAGGTGCCAGTGAAAGTGTGGGAAAGCATATGCTTGAAGCGTGCAACAATAACCTGGAGATGGCTGTGACCATGTTTCTGGATGGTGGAGGCATAGCAGAGGAGCCTAGCACCAGTTCTGCAGGGGTGTCTGCAGTTCAACCGCACACTGAGTAGGTACCCGATGGACATGTCTGTATAAACGAGTAGTCTGTCTTAAGAATTTAATAGTGCAAGGCAGAACAAATAAGGTAATTGTCACTTCTAACCTGCTGTCAGTTCACTGTAATACGTGCTGCTTTGATGATCTTGTTAAATTCATTGATCCAATATTGTTCTGGGTAAATAAGTTCTCATTACATGAGTTGGTGTGTAGACCAACACAAGTTAGTCTCTCTTGCATGTACTTCAGAAGTTTTCTGTAGCTCATACATACCACTTCCGCAGACAACTCAAGATATTAAAGTGGGGGTCTGGTAGTAGGAGATTCTTACTTTTAAATTGCTCCAGCAATCTTGCTCTATGTTAATTTGGCAGTTAGAGGGTTCTGTTGTTTTGGTTCTTACAAATGCAGTGACCTTAAGTCCCATTTGTAAGGGTTTTACAGTGTTATTTTAAGTGTAACCAGATTTGGCATTGGAAAGGCTAGATTGTGTACACTAGTATGCAGAGGAATAAGCAACTACAAAATCTGCATCAGTGTCTTGCACATCAGATGCCAATAAAGGGAAGAGTTGTTCCACTTGAGCATGACAGAAAGTCTTTCAGTGCTGCCTGTTAATGTGTCTGCTTGGGATAAATGGAGTATTTTGAGTGGAAGCTAATTGGTGTAAGTCACATTCATTAAATGTTTGAAATTAAACCTAGCCATGCTTTCATCTTTATGAAAATCTTCCACTTCAGGAAAAAGACAACTAAATTTTAAAGAAAATTCTTGCCATTCATACTTCTGAAGCACATGTATAAATTTATACAATTCTTTTGGTACTAACCTTTGTAGTTGATGTCAAGTGCCTTCCTGCTTGAACCTTTGACAGGTAATGAAGTTAAAACTCTGTATCTCTGTATAGGTGTTAGAGTTCTTATTTCTAGACAACTTCTGGCACATCAGTGACTTAAGATTCAAGTTTTTATTGGAATACTTTCTTTTTTATACTTGACACCCTCCAGGTGCTGGTCAGCTTAGTGTTACTTCTAGGAAGAGAGAACAATAAATATGCAAATGCAAAATGGAGAATAACTAGCTTCACAACAGCAATCAAAGATGTGGAGGTTAATAGCAAGGTTAGTGCATCTTGCTGCCATTATGAGTTACTTTTTGAAACCTGCATGGCCAAGAGCCACAAACTGCATACTTTACAGCTTTGAAGAGGCTGAGGGAAGAGGGCACTTCAGGAGTAGTTCATAGGTAGGTTATAGCAGTGGATTTCCTTGGGTGAGCCCATGCCTTCCTTCACGTAGATCCATGGGCCAGGTGACCACGCTGAGTAAGTGGTACTGTTTCAGAGCTCTTGTGATTTCCTTTCTTCTCCTAGTCACAGTTACAGAATCAGTAGCAGTCTGTGAGTATAACTAAGCTGGTAATATGTGAGGAAGCACAGCTATGTAAGCAGATAATTGCTTCAGAAATGGGGGGAAATGGCTGTTTTCCTTCCTCTGGAAAAGAGGGGGCTGTGAGTTTCAAGTGGAAGCAAAAAGTCTTCCAACAGAAGAAAGCTGGTAATAAGGTAGTATTTTTTGTCTCTCTAGGATTCTCTCTCAGGGGAGGAGGGTGGCAAGTGGATTAATTAGTAGACTTTACTAAGTTTTAAGAAACTTTTCCGAGTTCTAAGAAAGTTACTAATGAAGAAAAAATGTTTAAATAGATTGACAAAGCCTGGAATCAAGTCACCCAGGGATTTGTGTAGTCTGTCAAGACTTTCATCCATGCCAGATCTTAATGCAGAGTGTACCAAGTCCTGCATCAGTGCCATGAGTGGGAATAGGTGGTCTCTTGAGGTCCCTTTTGACCCCAGATCTCTGGATTCTGTGCAATGGTGCAGCAGCATGCTTAGCTGGTTCAAGTTGCAGGAGCCTCTGGAGCACAATGCAATGTGGTTTATATAGTACTTGGAATATTGTCATATCTCTGATATTGTTTTTTTCTTCCCCTGTGATAGGGATGAAGTACGAGCTCCAATTCCTCAAAAACAGGAAATTTTAGTAGAGCCTGAGCCCTTGTTTGGAGGTAGGCTTGTGTTCTTATTTTGGTTTTTGTTTTCTTTACCTTGAGATGAGCTAAAGTGACAAAAGAAAAACAGAACTTGCTGAACATGAAGAAAGCATTGTATGTATTTTTATTCTTGTTTTTTTCCCTGCTGCAGCTCTGCAGCCATGTAACATGGTTGCATAGTTGGAAATAACACCAGTATTATTGAAAACCTCGCGCGTTAGAGATGCTACATTTCTAGTGGTACTAATTTGCTAACTCCTGTTTCATGAGATTGTGTGAGGCAACAGCCAATTAGCTATGATAAGTATACATCTGCATTCTAGGGGTTCAGAACCATGAGATACTGCTGTGAAAGTGTTCAAGGTGGTGGGATAAAACATTGAGTCTTGACTGATGAATGAAAATGAAGAGGACAAATGCATGCTTCTCAGGGAGATGATAGATCGGAAAGGGCTGAACTATATGATTACTCACTGTTTTCTCTATTTCTTATTTAGGAATTTAATTTGCTTTTTAAACTGCACCATGCAGCTAGTTCTCTTGTTTGTTTTCTGACGCTGTTTATCACTTCTGCTTTTGAAACGTTCTTTTGCTCTAAGGAAGCAGGTGTTAGAAATGCTGTTTTCTTCTGGGTGCTTATCTAAAACACTGTTTAGTGGTCATGTAATACACTAGTGTTCTGAATCTCAAAACCTCAATCTCAAACCTCTGCTGTAGTAGTTCTTTTACAGCAGCATGGAGTGGAACTTCTGTAGCACAACTGGATTACTTGGTACATTATCCTCTCCTTTTGTAGAGTCTCCATGTCTGTATGGAGATCTAAGGCACTCTCTTTTTACACTTACGTCCTCTACTCTTGTGAGGCTCTGTTCCTCTCATGTTGACCATGTCATTTCTGGCTGCCTATATGGCTTTTGCCATGTCAAGTGGATTGAGAGTCTTACCCTTTTAATCAGGGAAGAGCATGCAAGTGCTCATCTTTAAAGTGGTCTCATACCCATAGGAGATGCTCTTTTCTATTGTTTTGTTCCTGTGCTAGAAAGGAGAAGGCCAGGCTCCACATTTACCCTGGAACTGGCTTTCTCTTGATGCTTTTTTTTAACATCAGAGAGGTTTTTAGCCAGGATGCACAAGCCAAGATGTGGTTCCAGAGGAAGGTGCCCTGCTGAGGGCCCTCTGAAGACAGTGCACTTGTTCCTGTGGCCCAACAAAGTATTTGGCAGAGGTCTGTGGACTCCTGTGAGTTCAAGAATCTAAGAAGTGCAGGATTAAGACTGGCGGACCCTAATGCTTGGTCCTGTTCTACCCACCTGTCACACACTGCTCTCAGACTTGCTGCCACTGGCCTCCCAGCTGAGGTGATCTGTGGAGCAGTGACAGCCTCCTGGCACTGTCTGGCCCAACCAGTGCTAACGTGCTCACTAACGCCCCTTCTGTTGAGAACATGAAGCAGCCTGACAAGCAGGCTGAAACCCAAGAGGTGCTTCACTTGGATCTTCTCAGCTCTAACCTCAAAGCAGGGGCCGTTCCTGTTTCTGTTTTTATCAGTGTCATATTGAGATGGTTGTATGAACTTAGGTTTTCTTCCATTTGAAGAGATGACCCTGTCTATTTGTGCTCTGCCAGGTACATGGATCCACTCTTGCAGTACAAAGGATATCAGAAAAGCATCTGCCTGGACTGCTGTGAATCTTCACCAGCGCTGCCAGGCTGTAGCTAGGCCTGGCCAGGGAAATGGTGCTTTTGCTGAAGTAGTCCTTCAGTTGCTATTTTTAGTGCAGTTAAAGTGGCTCTTTAGTGGGTTGTGCTTCTGCCTCAGCATTTAGAGGTGAAAGAGATGTTACTTACTGGAGTTAGGTGTTATTCACAAGCATGTTCCTCATTCAGGCCTACTTTATTTTTCCATGGTAGTCTGTCTGGGACACACTGATTCTATCCTTTTTACTCTGCATGAGAAGAATGCAAGGAACTGGAACTGCATACCATGCATACCATGCTTTATGCCCTTGGTATGGCACAAGGTGAAAGATGCTGCACACGCTATGGGTGCAAAACCAGTAAAGGTCTCTAAAATCAAGTTTTGGAGGTACTTCCTTTATGACTTGTGTGCAGGTCGTACTTTCTCACAGTAAATGGATTTTTCTTTCTACAGGTTTCCGGTGGGTATACATTGTATCTGTTTAATTTGTTTATTGTTTATTATTTATTATGTCTTCTAACACTTAGACTTTGAAAGTTCTATCTTAAAATTTTTCTGTTTTCAGGTGAATAGTTAGAATAAGTTGTAGCAGACAGTTTCTAGTTCTGTTTTGCATTGCAAGTATGGTGGTTGTGCTGTACCACAGGACTTCAGTGGTACTTTTAGGTACTCTTTCAGTTATCTGCCTGGGCTGCTGTCTCTGTCCAGCTGCAGATAATCTATTCTGAAGGTTTCCTTGCAGATAGTGTTACCGGATCTAATGGAAACAGCCACACTCTTCCACTGGAAGGATTTAATCTTTTGAAGTTTTTAATCTACTTTGGTAAAAACCTTGACTGGAACTGTGACATGTTGATGCTGTGACAGCACTGCCACTACATATCGATGAGCCTTGGTGAACCCATTAGGAGGGGCTAACGTTAAACTTTTGTGTATTGTTAATACATGTTTGGTTGCTGGGGTAAAGTTTGCTGGAGGGAGGATGTGTCAGGAAATGGGTATTACAAACTACCTATTTCCATCCTCCCATCCTCCTCCAGCCCTTCCCACATCATTCATGCTTTGGGTTCCTATTCTGTTTTCCCACACATGTGATGGAAGGTACTAATATGTAATTATTTTGATTGTATAATTTTAAAATAATTCTTTAAATAATTTTTTTTAGCTCCCAAAAGACGCAGACCCGCGCGCTCAATATTTGATGGCTTTCGGGATTTTCAAACAGAAACCAGTAAGTGTCTACAGATCAGTAAGCTGGAGGTTCTATTTTCTTTTTTTTTTAAATGCAAGTAAGATTGAAAAATAGTTTCTGTTGTAAGGTAGGACAGCTTTCAGTTGTTGAACGGTTTTTAAATTACCTACAGTGTAGCAAAAGGGGTTTTTTATAACATTATTATGCTGTTCATTGTTGTAGTGTCAGTACTGTTTGCTGACACGTCTCTTCCATGTTTGTGGCACAGTGAAGGTTGTTAGTTTATTGTTCTGGTGTGGCTGAAAGAGGAGTCCTGAATAATGGAATATGAAGCAGGTAGTGAGGGTGTTGCTCCAAACACTTGCCTGTGTTACATAAATAAAACCTGCAGACAGTATATTCTGTCTGCTTTGGTATGGCAAATGCTTTCTTAATAACTCTCAACTCTCAAAATACTTTTTCTGCTCTAGAAGGAATTGAAAAAGGGGAAGAATCTAACACCCATGTAGGAATGAAGTTAATCCACTGAACCTTTCTTGCCTAGCCAATGGTCATTCTGGCACTTGAATTAGATTTGAGCAGCCCTGAGGCTTCTTCCTTGGCCACGCGCAAGGTTCTCATGAATTTAATCACTGTTTACCGTGTCTTACCTGTTGATATGCAGAATCTTCAAATGACAAATAATGGCTGTTATTTAAGCCATTAAATTTCATAGAATTGAGAGCAGAACAGCAGATATTTCACAGCTGAGTTACAGCTGTTGTGCAGTTGTTGTCGCTGATGTTGCTGGACCATTCAAGAGGTCTAACCATGCAGCAGGTTTCCAGGTAGTTAGGTGCTCTTGGATGCCAAACTGAAAGTTAGTATTCATAATTACTTTAGTTCCCCTGACAGGTTTGGTCAGGGTTTTCCAGTCACTGGCAGCTGCATAAATGAAACTACACCATTTACAGAATCATCATACCCTTAAATTTTTTTTCATCATCTCCTCTGTTATAAGACATTTAGAGATGCACAATATATAAATAATTGTGGAGGCTTGTGATGAAATTTTATCATGCTTTTTGGTAAAACTTCATAGATGAATATTGCTGTCGGGCTATCTCTGAAAAAGCAGCCCTGGCCATATTTCCTGGCTCCTAGGCCTGCTCTACAGGGATGCTTTTTCCCCTATGGGAGATCCAGTGTCTGCTCAAAAATGGTTTGTAGGCTGTGGAACATTGACAGCTCCTGAAAGTTTTTGGTTGCAGGATAGATATTGCTGATTTCAGCTGACTTTGTTCCATAAAATACATTGTGTTGTTGCACTTTTAGGTGAGCAATTGCTGTAATTTACCTTTACTGTATATGATCATGTCTATGTAGGAAATATGTTCTGTATTATTTTGAAAGGAATTGATACCACTAAAAGAAACAAGCACAAAGTGTGGTACTTGGGGATAAACAGGGCTGAAAACACATTCACCTGGAAGAGACAGTGGTATCTTGAGCCATTTGTGGGAAGACTAGATATTTAATATAAACATCCAAAGATATTTCTCCATGTAAACTAAGTCTGGTTGTTTTTTTTTCTTTCCTGTGGGATTGCCTTACAGTCAAGATGTACTTGGAATATTTCTATTCCAGTGTTACAACAAGTTATGATGCTACAATCTAGGTTGGTTTCCCCTTTTAAAAGCATCACTGGGGACAAGTCACAGCTTTTTATATTTCTCATTTGTTTTCAAATGCGGGCATATGACCTCCTCTGCTGATACTCACATTCGTTAAGGTTCTTTTTTTTTTTTTAAGTGAAATAAATGCCAAGTGCTTGAGAAAGCTGCGGCAGGTGGAGTTCTTACCTTACATAGCAGCTAATCTTGTTCAGTGAGGTGTACCTTATGACTCTAGTGCCCAAGTTTTGTGTATAGCCAGTAATAAATCCATCGTGTGAGTATTTTGTCTAACTCAGCTTCCTTTCCTCTTGGGGCTGTGCAGTTCGACAGGAACAGGAGCTACGAAATGGAGGGGCAGTAGATAAGAAACTCACTACTCTAGCAGACCTCTTCAGGCCTCCCATTGATCTGATGCACAAAGGCAGCTTTGAAACGGTAAGTTTCAAAATTTTGGTGCAGTTCCTTATTCGATGACTGTGTACAGTGTGCAAGCCTTGTGTTAGGCATGTATGGATCCATTGACGAATGATTAGAAAGTTAAAAAAACTGTATAGTGATAAATATTTGATGGACTGCATATGGAAATCTTGATGACTTATTGAAGGATTAAGTAATGATGGTAGACCACATTGTTTGTGTTTAAATGTCAGTGTGGCAAATCACACTTGGTGAAAGACTTTAGTGTGTAAGGGAAGCTGGTCCAAGTGGAAAAATTGCATCCCTTGAGGTATCTTTGTAGAGCACAATACAGAAAAAGCTGAAGTAAGATTGCTTTTCATAGGTGAGCAAGTACTTTGCAAGGGGCAATGTAGCACAGCCCTGCTAAGAGGCTTGGGTGGAGTTATGTTAACACACCTAAATGGTTTCTGATACCTGAGCTAGTAAAAGTATTTGAGTGTGGCTTTGTCACAGAGGCACAGCTTTATCTTCAGTAGTGGTCTCGCTCTTGCATAAAATAACAGTGGCTGTCTTTTGCATCTGGTAGTGATGGAAAAAGTATCCAAGAGATTGTCTGCCTGAGAAGGGGACTGTTAGATTTAAATAATTTCAGGTCTCACCTTTCCTGTCTGTGTAGGCATGTGTGGATCTAGTCATAAGTTGTTGTTATATGGATCAGGACTTAACTAATGATCAGAGAATATCCAAATTGGTATATATTTTTAATTTTTGAGTCCGTAATTTCTAGATATTCTTCAGAAGTTGCAGTTACTACTGAACTTCCACCGGGTCATCTTGAAGTAGCTGAGATTGATGATGATTATATATTAGATGATTTCATGAGAATGCAAACTAAGGATTAAATGGTGCAATACTGCTGCAAACAGTGCTGGAGACCTGACTGCATGAGCTGAACAGAAGTATTATTTACATTCTTTTCACATTTGCCTCTACTGCCATGCACAAATACTAGAGCATGCTGGAGAATTTTTTTCAGAAACGCTGTGTGCCTTTACTGAGTCCCCAGTTCTCATCCTGTTGGCCTCATCTCTCTTTTTATGCTTCCCAAATCACCAGGGATCAGTTGTCTTGTCACTAATTCCTGTATTCTGACAGTGCCCTCCATATGTTTAATCTTGTAATGAAATTCCAGGTTTGAAAGGATGCTGGCAAAGAATAGCTGTGTCTGCCTCATCAAGTAATTGAGTGTGATGGAAGCAGATGAGCAGACTGAAGTAGCTGGTGCTGAGACATCCCAACCTTGTGGTATACGGTCCAGGGTTTGCCTCAAACAAGGGTGTGTCAGGTCCTGCAGGTGATGATGCCTACTGGGCCTCTGGTTCAGGGCTGTTTTGTGAACCTAGTGAATGTGTGGTTAAAGGCAACAGTGAAGGGAAATCACATGAAAACAGCCAGTGCAGCTCCAAACTGGAACATACAGAGTCAGCAAGTGCCCTCTGACCTCTGCTGTGGGATGTGAGATGTGTGCTAGTCTTTCCTCATGTCTTGATGAAAACGTATCAGGACTTCAGCATCTGCCACAGTCAAAAGTAGAGTATGGAATAACTGATTGATAGATTTGATTGTCCCAAAGTCTCTGCATTCTTATTTAGTCTTGTAAGTTTAAAAAAAAAATAGGGGGGAGGGAAAAGGTTTGTATATACACACCTTGTCCTGTTCTTTATGGTAACTTTAACTTAGACATGTTCGCTTTCTGGTCTTGGTATTCACCTTTCTGTGTTCTTGTACAGTTCCTTGTCCCCTGGGATACCCTTCATTTCAAACTGATGCTTCTCAACTTCATTGCAATAAAAATCTTCAGCTTCTCAATTTGTTGGCCATTACCCCTTCCATTTTACCTTTTATGACTCTAGACTGCTGTACTGCTTCAGCCTGGGACAGTGTCAGGCCTCCTGTGAATCCAGTGACCAGAGTGTCTCAAAATTAGTATCTAGCAAGCTGCTGTTAGCTTTTTCCTTCTCTCTAGGCTTAGATAAACATATATAAACTCTATAATAAATCAGAGATGTTTACCACATTCCAAAGTACCAAAGACTAAATACTGTCGTTCTGACACTCTTGTAGTTTAGTGTTAATCAAGTGGAGTTTTCTTCTTATTATTGGTGTGTGGTATATTCTAACCTCTGGAAGGGTGTGCAAGAACATTCTGCTGGTGTTGTACCATGTATATTTTATCATAGAATCATTTAGGATTTATGACTTTATTCAAACTTAGCAGGAATGGTGGGATCTGGTCTTACTAAGGTTTTCATGTATCTTTGTTGTTCATTGTTTGTTGCTCCTCTTTGGGTACTCTAAGGTTGATTTTGATAGTAAGTAGATTTAGTTATCTTTGGTTTTCCCTAAGAAACCTTATTTTTCTTCAATTACAAAGAAACTTTGTTATCAGTAAGGTGAAAAAAGTTGCCATTTCATTTCAACTCAGTAATACTAGCTTTTAAGAGTAGATGAGAATTAACTTTCCTTAAAGAGAAATTTTCAAGTGTTAAATGACACCAATTTTTTTTTAACTTGCTATCTCTGCAAAAGCAGTGTGCGTTACATACAGAACAACTTAGGATCATTATACCTGTGAAGTTAAGTGTGTGATTAACTAATTTACACCACAGAAGTGTGGTGAAAAAGATTTGATGCAGAAAATCTGTAAAATACTTTTTTTTTTTTTTTTTAATCCTGCAGGCTTTTTGAATGTGAGATGTTAGTTACCTAGTGACTGGTGGAATGGGGCTATATAAACCAGAGGCAAACAACCGGTGGGCCAGCAAGGTGTGGAGCTGAACTGCCTTTTTCTTTCTACTAAAAATTTCAAAGAATATTTCAGAGCTTAAATACACAGTGTCACTGAAAAGTCAGTATTTGAGTAGTGTGGTTATACGATTAGGCTGTTGTCAGTTAAGATTGCACAAATGATTTGTAACTGTCGTTTCCTGAATGTAATATTGAGCTTTAATGTGTACTAAGTTTCAGAATTATCTGCTTAATGTAGAATCTGCTAGGAATAAATCACTGGAGTATAATAAAAAAATTAATTGCACACCAAACGTGCTTTGTAAAGAACAGCATGCATTTCTTATCTCAAAGACTGCTTTCAGAAATTGCAGGTGTTCATCTCTTCATGCATATGATGCCAGATATGATTTAATTTGTGGTGGGTACACACCAAATTGTCCTAGTTTGCATTTGTTGTTTAGAGAGGAGATAGTTGTGGTGCTTAACACTCATTAGGATTTCAGTACTTCTGCGAAGTGATTGTATGTAATGTTGCAGAATTTTAAGTCTGTCTATATGAAGTTTCCTCATTTTACAAGTTCAACTGCTTCTAGCTGCTTCCTGCTTTACAGCTGATAACTGATTTTTTTTTTTGTTCTTTGTATATAGCAAGCAGCAATAGTTTGGAAGCTAAACTAGTCATTGTACCCAAATGGTGCAATTATCTTTGCATAAGGTGCTTCTAGACTGGCCCTTTGCATAAGCATAGCCTGCAGATCCTCTTTGGGGTAGGAATGGCTGGTTGATGAAAGGATGTATGCTCTGGCCCAGGCACGGACTGTAAGTGCTGCTGAGAGGGTGTTTATTGTTAGATAATCTCATGCTCTGATTTTTTCACCTGTTATCTTCCAAACTGAATCAGGCTTGATTAGCAGATGTCCAGAAGGTCACAAGATGCTGACTCCACTTCCTTGTTTCTCTCTGCTGACTTAAAGGAGCAGTGCATTTCAACAGAGCTGAGCAAGGAAGAATGACCACAACATTTATAAACCATACGTGGTTCAGAAAAGTCAAATGAGAGGAAAACATGTTATTTTTAGTAATGTGAGAGTAGAGGTTATCCAGTGAGATCCACTACTGAGTGTAGACAAGACTTGTTTCACATATCGTCTAACCAGGTTGCTGGTTTGTAGCTGTAACTTGTCGTAGTGATGAAAAATGTGAATGGGTAGGAAGGGTGAAGGTAGACTTAGGACAGATTGGTTTGGTTTGTTTTTTGCATCTGGTCCATTGTATATAGATTTATTACCTCTGTCTTTAAAATTTCCCAGTCTCCTGATGGATGAAACCTCAAACAGAGATGCTTGCAAACAGTGGTTGTTCTGTACTTACTCTGTCTGTTGCACTTTAAGTGCCTTATACCTCGAAGGAGGAGGAGAAATGGGGGACAGTTGATGTTGGAAACAGTGGATCAAAAGCCATCAGACATAGCTTTTGGGATATGCAAGCCAGCGTTTCCTTGTTCTTGTGTCACTTACCAAAATGACCCACCAATATAATCTCCAAACCTGCAGTGTTTCTCCACCCCCACCCCCCTCTTCTCCTTCCATATACCTCCAGCCCTCCAGAAAAAACCCAGTAGCTGTGTAAGAGCAGAGTTGTGTGTGTGTGAGATGGTAGTAATTTAACTGTGTCCTTTTAAATGTTAAATGTGAAGCCTGTTGTTTTCAGAAGGAAGTTAGAAGTAGTTTGAAAAGCTATACCTGCTCTACAGGTGAAAACTCATCTTTGCAAATGTTCTGTGTGGAATTTCCTGCTTTGCACCCTTAGTTGGGAGGACCTTAGCTGGAGGGAGGAGAGGTAGAGCCAGGTTTTCACTAATATTGAAAAATACAGAAAGTAAGTGGAGAAGAGTGAGACACACTTTCCAGCTTTCTAGTTATATATTTTTGAGCTTGTTCTTTTAATCCAATATGGATTACGTTAAAACACAAGACTAAGGCAACCCAATTGATTCAAATAACATAAGGATTTTTGTCCCTTTTATACTTGGGCAGTACCTCTAGGCCTTGTCTTAAACTGATTTCCTAGAATTAGTTCTTAAAATCCACAGCTCAAAACATGTCTTTCAAATAAAAGCATAATGACTATATTTTAAGACTCTTGCCAGTTACTTAGGTGTCACCTGCCCCACTTTTCTCTCTTAGTGACCAAATGCTGGATTCTGACACTGTGATATTAGTGGTAAGTAGTTAGCATGAGGTCCCTTGCAAGAACAGGAGGACTATTCCATACTTCTACATTCATTTTTTTCCTCCTTTGAGTAAAGTAAAAATCGGCTCTCTGCAGGTCATTTGGCCATGCAGATTAATTTTGTAGGCTGAGATTCTTTGTGAAGTTGAGTGTGTGGGGTTCATGTGTTTGTCTATCACACATTGGATAGGCTGACTACTTGAAAGTGCACTGGCTAAAATTTGTTTTAAAAGTAAAAACTTTGGTTTGGGGAACAAAATACTGCCCAAAACAGCAAAATCTTGCGTAACATCCTAATTCCTTGAGTTTGCTGTTAAGTGCATTACCAGCAGGATGGTGAACACATTTATAAATAAATACTTTTTTTCTTTTTTAAAAGGAAAGGGAGTTTATATGCTAGTTCCAGTCTTTCCAGGTGGTAAGAGCATTCCTGCTGTTGATATAGCCCTCTTTTTTTCAACAGGTATGACAGTTCAGCGATCAGAATTACATTCTTGATCAAACTCCTACCATTAACTTGCAACCAAGCAATCAGACAGTGCCAGCTTTGTGACTCAAACCAGTAAGATTTCTTCCTGCGCCTTCCTGTCTTCCTCCCCACTTGCAGTCTGGATAACGAGCATCAAAAAAGGATGCCTAATTTGGCAGTTGCACAGTAATAGAGTAACTCAAACCTTGGAGAGAAAAAAGAAAACACGCAGAGAGGGGTGTCCTGTTGAATTAATGCAAGTCCTCTGACAATTTTGCAACCTACTTAAATAGAAGATGATCCACAGGTTTATCTTTAGAATGAGCAGGTCTTTCCTCTGTTGTGAGATCAGTGTGACTGGCCACACTTTTTCCTGAACAAGTACTTTATTCAGCGTCCCTGTGTGTGTCCCCCCCACCCCCAAGTTGCTTTTCCCAGTCTGTGCTTGGCTTGTTGAAATCCAGCAGCTCTGTTCATCAGTGTGATTCTGTAATTCAACCAGTCTCATTTAAAGCAGGTATTTCAGCCCTGCCTTCTGTTTTGTGGATGCCTTTTCACTAGCACTGTCCATCTTTTTCACTGTGAAGGGGTTTTGGTGAAAAATCTGACAGTGTTAGAAGCCATCACTGATCATTGCTGGCATTGGTTCTGTCTGGCTCTTCAGTTTTGGCTAACGAAGCTTTTCTCTCTGCTTACAGGCCAAGGAGTGTGGTCAGATGCAGAACAAATGGCTCATGATAAACATACAGAACGTGCAAGATTTTGCCTGTCAGTGTCTCAACCGTGATGTCTGGAGCAATGAGGCTGTGAAGAACATAATCCGGGAACATTTCATTTTTTGGCAGGTGAGAAATTTAATGGGGCCTTGCAGGTAACTTGGTGTCCTGGTAGGTGGGGCAGCAAAAAAAATGGACCACTTTGAATAAAATGGCACTGTTGTGGTTCTCTTGGTGAACTTGCAGAAAAGATGTGTTAGTTCAGAGGTGTAGTTACGGATGTAGATGTAGTTCATGGATATGCATTTGGGTGCATGAACTGTGCATTCAGGATGTTACTGTGTAGCTTCTAATACATGAAGTGTTAGGGGCATGTTTTCAGTTTGTCAGAATTGCTGAGAACTGTACATAACCATTTGTAGCATATACTGTAAAATAGAGGAAAAACTTTGTACATTTTGAAGGTACAGTTTGTTTGCATTCCCTCTCCACCCAGTAATTTGCTTCCAACATGGTATTTTGTAGGTATATCATGACAGTGAGGAAGGACAGAGGTACATACAGTTTTATAAATTAGCAGACTTCCCTTATGTCTCCATCCTGGATCCCAGGACAGGTAAGATAAGTGACAGTTGGTTACCTGCAGTTTATATATCCCGTGAGAAGGACTGGCAGTGGTAGGCTGGAATACCATCTATCACAGTATGTGCTGCATTCAGCTGAGGACTCTCAGTTACATTGTTTTGCTCTCTGAGAGACCTTGTTGTCCGTGAAGCAGTGAAATACTATGTGTTGGAGGAACGAAGGAAATAAAACTCCCAAGGCTTGCTGAAATTATGTGCATTTAATTACCGTACTTGCTACAATTTAGTGAATACTTTGCTTATAAAGTGAAAATAGTACCACCTAGTGGTAAACCTCTGAAGTGAATTTAAGTGTCCTCTTAAAAGGTACTTAAATCATGTGATGAATAAACTACAACATTTGTAAGCATAACATGAATCTGCTTCCTGCTTATTGCACAGTAGCTTTGTGAAGCTCAGCAATGATTTACTAAATTGCATCTTAATTTTTAAATACCATTTTGGCTTTGGGGTTTTTGTTTGTTCATTTGGGTTTTTACCTGAACAATCAAACTTCTACTTCCCCCTCCACCTCTTTCAAAATTGTTACTTTTTCTTTTGTATCCAAACACCCTTTATTCTTTTATCATCATACAGTGCAACTATATTAATGGTCTATTCTCCTGCTTCTCAGGACTGAGATAATAGTGTCTGTAATTAGATCTGACATTTCTTGCTATTTGACTTAAACCATCCGAAACCCCTTTTTTAATGTTGAAACCTAAGTTAGGATACTCTTCTTAGCACTTTACTTATGGAAAAAAGTGCTGTTTGCCAAAGTGTAGAATCAAAGCAGACAAAAATGTAGAAATTCTTCTTCATAAACTTAGTGGTTTGGCTTTTTTTAATTTTGAAGCCTAATTCACCATTCTGTGCACACATTCCTATAGATAAAAGAATGGAAACAAACAGGGTCTGTATTTATGTCTGTCCATGAATGAAATCTTTCCAAGGGAGTGGAAAGAGGAAGCTTCATAGTTACCAACTGGTAGCCTATAGGAAGCTGCAGTTCCACAAATACAGCCTTTTGCAGAGTGTATGTGCAGCAGTGAATTGGTGTGTTTGGCCCCTAAGCTGCAATCTTTCACTGAAATCGTTTCAAATTGTTTCACAACACCTTTTGTCCTTAGGCCAGAAACTAGTGGAGTGGCACCAGCTAGATGTGACTTCTTTCTTAGACCAAGTGACTGGGTTCCTGAGTGAGCATGGACAGCTGGATGGCCATTCTACCAGCCCTCCCCAAAAATGCTCTCGTTCAGTAAGTATGAGGCCCTCTCAGAGAAGTGGAGAAACCTGAAAGAACATGCTAGCATGTTTTTATCCAGCTGTACTTACTTCCCATTCAGTAGTATAAACAGACTTAATAGAGCATGCAAAAATAAGATGTGCCAGGGAATGCCTTCTCCCATAATAACTTCTTGCGCAGTTTGTGTTTTGGATTTAGCAGTCGTGGAATTGCGCATGTGTGGAAGGAAAATATGTTACTCCACGCAAAACTCCAAGAAGAAGTCATGGCATGACTAGCTTTCAGTGCTGCTTGTTCCAAAGAGAATCTACTAAAACTGTTAGGAAGACTGATGACTCTTGATTTCCAGTAAGTATTTAAAAGCAATTTTGATGTATTTGTGTTATGTCTGTATTCAACAGGAGAGTCTCATTGATGCCAGTGAGGACAGCCAGCTGGAAGCTGCTATCAGAGCCTCGTTACAGGAGACGCATTTTGATTCCTCACAGACCAAACAGGAAAGTCGGTCAGATGAGGAGTCAGAGTCGGAGCTTTTTTCTGGAAGCGAAGAGTTTATTTCGGTTTGTGGATCTGAGGAGGAGGAAGAATCAGAAAATCCTGCCAAGTTGAGGAAGTCTCCACACAAGGACTTGGGGTATAAAAAAGAGGAGAGCCGGAGGCCTCAGGCTGAACCTCCTGCAAGGACTGAGCCCGGGACAACATCAAATCACAGAGTACTGCCCTGCATTGATGCAGGGATAGTGGAGGAGTCAGCTGACAAGCCTGAAAGTACGTTTCAGAGCCTAGATGTGAATGGTAAGTTGCCGCTTTTTTTTTTTTAGTGACCTGTGTTTTGTTTTTTTTCCCTGAAAATCTTTATATGCTGCCAAGCATGGTTTCATCTCTTGTTTTGAAAAGCTAAATGTTTTCTTCTGTCTTATTCCCTCCCTGACACCAGACATTTGAGCAGTTCACCTTGCCAACAGCACCACTTCGGCATGATGATGCCACAAACTGCAGAATCATGTTAGTCACCAAGTTTGAGTTTCTTAGTTTGAGACGTTGCCCAGGAATTAAGTGTGCACTGTTGTAATGCACATGCATATGACAGAGCTTCTACCAGAATGATAAAGAGAAGCAGAATAACACCAGCCCCACCTTGTGCTCAGTTAGCTTGGCTGCCTCGATGGTCTGGACTGAGTTTTAGTAATGCAACCTTGGTTATTACAAGCGAGCTTTTGGAGTCTCTGTTTCCTCCCCGTGGTGTCTGAGCTGGGATGCAGCAGAGTGAGGTGGTCTCAAAGGCAGAGGTAGCACAGTGTGCTTTTTCTCTGGAAAGGCTGTCCATTTTCAGTGGCTGCTATAAACTCTTCAAAGACTCCTGGGTTTGATGTGTGTATTTTAAACACGTGTGGTAGAAGTATATCTTCATAGACTGGAACCTTGTATTTGTCTCCAGTCCCTAACCCTGCTATGCTGTGCAGTAAAGCATGCCACCTAAAATCTGAAGAAGAGCTCAGTTCAACTGCCTTTTTGTTTGTTAACTTGTAGTAACTTCCTTTATGCTAGGACCAAAGGCACAGCTGATGCTAAGGTATCCAGATGGGAAGAGGGAACAAATTTCACTGCCTGAACAAGCTAAACTTCTGGTAAGTGGAGTTAATCAGAATCCTTGTTTGAGTACAGAAGAGATTCTTTTTTTTTTACTGTGGTGGCACTATTAAAATTGGATCTAGTGAAAGTGGTATATTCAGGGAGTGCTTACGCTGTCATTCTCTTGTTTCTTCTGTGTCATTCCTCTCTTCTGATCGACAGACTCTGCTGGCTCTGTGTGTTTCCATTGCTGCTTGAGTTGTGTGTACACTCCAGTGTCTGTCTTACTCCCAAAACTGTTAGTTTCCTTTCTAAAATGACTCTAAATGGCTTTTGAATTCATCATTATCATAAAGTACTCTCAGCTCACTCATTTGTGTTTGGTTTTTTTTTTTTCCAAATGGAAGAGTTCAGTCATTACCCATGGTCAGACAACAGTGAAATCAAAGGAAAAACTTCATTCTTGTTCTCCGTGTCTCATTGTACTTCAACACTCCTTTCTGAATGTGGATGACAGAGCAGACTTTGGAGGAAGTTCTCCCAGAACAAATTTATTACAATATTACTTAATTACTCTGCTTCAGGTGTGCATCTCAACTGTGCTTTGAGCTTGTTTACCTTGGAGAAGCCAATGTGGATGGCATTGACATCAAAATTTTGCAGATGCTTATCTGGAAACAATGTGTAAATAGGTCACTGTATTCCTGTTAGCTGTGAGTTTTCATGACAGAGTGGCTAGTGAAGGTTGTTTTAGTATAATCAACCTAAAAGCTCTTCATTGAAGTCTTAGGGAAGGCAAAAGCACACCTCTTCGGTTTAGGAGAAAAGTGTGACATGTCTTACAGAAAATGAAATTAACTTAGTCTGCGGCACTCTAGAATTGTACGGTGTCTCAAGCTCATATTCTCTTCCTTAACTCTTTTGCTTGAAAATAAAAGGAAAAAAAAGTTGCTTTTGTTATACTGTCAACTCTCTCAAAACCAAGCATAAGTGGGTAGGATGTAGACTACCTGCAGTGCCACGTGTGGAGTTCAGGAGCTGAAATAGAAAGACTGAGGAACACTGCCAGAGCATCATTCTTACTGTAGGAACCAGCTTTACTTTCAGACCTTCATTCTTGCTTTTTCTTAGCAGTCATTGGTGTATAATCTTTTTCCAAGTACTCTTTTATATCTTAACTGCTTTTTGAAAGCAGTCTGTTAAATAAAGTTGCGTGTATTATTAAACATGTAGCACTTTTGAATACTTAACTAATTTATTTAGGTGGTATGTAGGTGTAATGCTAATATATTCCTGGTAATTCTGACTTCTGGTTTGACTCATTTTATGGATTGTGGTAGTTAAAGGAAGTTAATCTCGGCATGTGATTTCCTTTGCTGCCACCTGCTCTACAGTCAGCAGAGGAATTTAGGTGAGTCAAGGTTTGTGGGTAAAGGTATCTTTTTATTGCAGAGCTGGACAGGCAGCCTTTGTGTTCATGCTATGTGATCTTTTAAAACCATTTCAGTTAGATCAAGATTGAGTCTCAGGTGTTTCTTTGTGAGCATCGTTTCCATGCTGATTTTTTTCAGCCCTTAGTTTCTTCCATTTTAAAGCTCTCCAGAACTATAAAAAGAGATTAAGGAGACAATTGCACTTCAGAAGTTTTAACTGGTCATATGATGTTGCTCTCCCACCAACACTGGCTGTTTTTTAAAACTTTTTTTTTAAATCATTGCATTGTTATCAATCAAGAGTGGTTGCGTTACACACTGTTATCTCCAGGATATACTTATGCTTCCAGTATTACTGCTTTTTTATAGGAGCAGTTGCTCATTGTGTGCAATTAAGTAAGCTGACTTCACTCTGTTCAACAGCTCAGCCCTTCATCTCACCACTGACTGGCTACCTGAATAACTTTTGTTTACCAAGTGTTTTAAAGTGTGCAGGAAAGGGTGGCCTTTAAACAGGACAGGGGGCAGATGTGGGCAGTAAACTAAACTGAATTTTTAAATACAGTGTAAAAGGAATTTTCATCATCCTTATTGCCTGAAAAGGAAGTCAAACCCACTTACTTGCATTTCTCATCAGACACAGGGATTGTACTCTGCAGATAGTTGGAGAACAGTCCAGGTAAAAGAGGAGGTTGGGCAACAGTCTCCTAATACTAAAGGTTTATGTGTGGATTTTGATGAAATCAGAAGAAATCTCCATGCAGGTACTTCCTTGGCTGTTCTGCAGTCATCAAATCTTGGAAAAGTCCAGGTTGAAAAGGATCCCTGGAGATCATCTAGTCTAACCCTTTGTTGAAAGCAGGGCTGCATATGAGGTTATCCAGTGCCCCCTCAAGCTGAGTCTAGAATACTTCTAGCCAGGGACATTCCAGCACTTCTCTGGGCAACGTACTCCAAAGTCTAATTTCTCTTGTGGTAAAGAATTCCTTCCTTCTATTCAGATGAAATTTCCCCTGGAGCAACTTGTGTGTGTTTTCTCTTGACACCGTGCATCTTTGTGAAAGAAATGCCTTTATTTTCTTTATAGTGGAACACTGTGATGATATTCCCACCAAGCCTTTTCCTTTCTAAGCTGAACAAATCCAAGTCCTTCAACCTTTACTCATGTACCAAGGCATGTCCTATACTCTAGACATTTTGATGGTCCTGCTCTTGATCCTCCCGTTTTTCCTTGTCCCTCTTGAATGTGGAGACACAAAACTGAACACAGTGTTCCAGGTGTGGCCCAGCACGGTGGCATAATCTTGTCCCTTGATCTGCTGGCAGTACTCTTGTTGAGGCAGTTCAGGTTTCCTGGTGCTGCTGCAGGGGTGCACTGCAGGCATGTGTTGAGCTTTCTTCATGACTTTGACAATCTGTCCATGACATCCTGGATCTTGGCTCTAGGCAAACAGTGGGCTTCCAAGATTCAGAGTTAGGTCAGCAATTGGGTGTCTCAGTCCCCTCCACCAGCATGCGCTGCTTCTCACTGCTGGCTTTGACCTGCTGAGTAGGACCAGTGGGTCCAGTTGTGGCTTCCAGTGGAACTTGTTTGTCTTCGCCATTTATTGCCAAGACTTTATATAGCTTTTTCAACTGATTGTCTGCCCCCCAGCTATGAGGAGAGCTACTGTTTTGCGGCCATAGGTCTCCAGGGTGCCTTTTCTTGCTGTTCATGTCTTGTTTCTGGTCATCCCACTGTGTCTGCACCACAAGGTCTCAGTTCTTGCCCTTGCAGTGTTGCTGCCAAGCATCCTACTGATCTCCTGCTCATCTTTGCTGATGCAGCAGAACAAGCTGACCTGTTCCTGCAGCTCCTTGACCTTGTGTTCCATCAGTATTGCTGCCCCTGAAACATTAGAAGAGTGCTGTGGGCTGTTGTGGGAGGAGACCATATCGTGTGTCATGTCAGCACCAGATGACTGTCAGCTTTCCTACCAGAACACAAACACCAAAATGAACAGACACCCAAGTGATCTCTCGAGCCCCTTGCCTGTGAGCTGTGGCAATAACTGCCGAGTGCTTGTTTGTAGCCACTTTTTTCTGTGTGCTGGATCACTGTGGTCCTGGAGTGGCAGCTAGAGAGCGAGGAGAAGCTAGTGGAATAGTTAGTTTCAGGAGAAGCTTAATACTGCTAGTTTACCTTCTTAATTTACTGGCATAAGTTGCCCACCAAAACTATGTGAACAGTATTGTTGGGACTCCCTTATTTTTTCATACTTTCTGTTTTATTACATACTAATTGTCTTTCTTCCTCTCTTTAAAAAGCTTCAACTTTTCATTCTGTCTGTGTCTTGCTCTGTTGCAGTATCCCCTACTTTGCTGCCAATCTCCATTTCTCTGTCCCTGTTTATTCATACTTTATGCTCTCATCTGCTGTGTTCCCTGATGAACTTGGGAAATCTCTCACGTTCTAGCATGGACATTAGCTCCTCCTGATATGTCTGCTTGTTGGGTTGTGGGGCTGATGCCCCTTGATCCCAATGCCCTCTCTTTCCTGCCCGATTGCTATTGTAGGCAGAGAAGTCAATGAATTGACAAGAACTTTAAAACCCAAAACAACCCTAAAACCACATGCTTTTCAAAGGCAGGGGAAAAAAAAAAAAAGTAAAAATACTGCATTTATTTTTGTTAATGCTATCTCACAAAAATGCATCTTTGGTGGCTTTTCGGTTTAGTGTGAGGGTAATGCCTGATAAACAAGTGAGGGGGCTTCTGTTTTGGAGCACTTAAGGACTATTTTGCAAATCTTATTTTACCATGACTTGAATGTGTGATGTGGAATTCAGCTTGCTTGAATTAATGTACTGTTATATATGTCTTCCTTCTGTTTAAAGAATCAGTTAGGTAAGGGATCACTTGGTAATTAGTTTTTATGGTTATTCATACCACATGTGGGCCGAATTAGATAAAGTAAAAGACAGTCTATGGTACATGCAAAATTTTGTTTGCCTGTGATTATAAGCTTCCTTTAAAAAAGGAAAACGGGATATTTTTTTTTACATTCTTTTGTGTTGTTTTGAATTCTGTGACACTTCTTTGTCTTTCTTTCTCTCCAGGCTCTCGTGAAACATGTCCAGTCAAAAGGATACCCCAATGAACGCTTTGAACTTCTCACCAACTTCCCTCGAAGGAAACTCTCCCACCTGGACTATGAGATCACATTACAGGAGGCAGGCCTGTGTCCGCAAGAGACTGTCTTTGTGCAGGAAAGGAATTAGCACCGTGGCTGCGTTCTCCCAGCCTTCCTCCCCTCTCCTCTTTGCCTGGGACCCCAACTCATTAAATACGCAGTTGAGGGTCATAGGATTGCAGTGCGGAAATCAGGCAGGCAGCTGGCTGGCCCTTCTCTCTCCTTCCCTTCTCCTGCTCTAGTGACCAAATGAGAGTGTTCAGAGTTATATTTTCTTCCTCAGCTTGGGCCTTGCGGAGAGCATTAGGAAGAACATCTTTCCTTTGTTTTCATGGAATAAAATAAAATTATGATCTGTGTATCCAGTATGCTGGGGCTTGGAGGGGCCATAACACACATACCCTTCTTGCTGCTATTCTTAAATCTGTTCTGTTTAATTTATTTTTGAAAATAGTGTGATAAGGCACTGAGTCATCTGTCTGTAAGGAGAGAGAGTGTAATCTTCAGTACAGTCTTTCCTTTGTTTTGATTCTCTACACGAAAGGGCTCCATTAACCTTACAGCTTTCTCGAGGGTTCACTTATCTAGTGCTCTGCAAAAGCTTGGGTTTTGGGAAGAAATTGGCTTGAGCTGTGGTGAGATACTCGGCCCCCATCTAATTTAAAGACTTCTAGATTGCATGCATGTCTTCCTGCTGCTTTAAATGCTGCCAGTGGACATAGTAAAAACCCCAACCAACCAAAATAAAAAACCCAGCTATACTATAAATGGGATTGACTGCTTGACCTGGCAGGAAAGCTGCATGTCCAGTGGTGGAACAGAACTGACTCCTTGGTAGAAGTAGGTGAAGTTTCCATTTTTTTTTCTCTTCCCAGCATTCCCCAAGTGTCTCCTTTGTACTTGCTCTCAGAATTTTGCATATGATGATAGAAGGTGGCAGGATACTGTAAAGATCTTGGACTCTCTGGAAAACACCTGTCATAAAAACTTTACAGTCGGCTTTTTTTTTTTCATGGTGTTTTGTTTGTTTTCCCCAAGAGTGTGACTAGCTTTGCAGGGGTTTTAGAGCACTGACTGCAACTGAGCAGGACAGCAAGTCTTAGGCAGATTTTTTTTTCATGAATTAAAAACATACATAGCAGGTTTTCTTTCATGAATTAAAAACATACATAGCCTTGTCAAACTGTGGGATGTGAATTAATGCTTTATGAAAGACTTCACAGCCTGGTGGCTTGAACGCTCTAGGCTGCTGCTTATTCTATTTTCATGTTCATCTACCATCACTTACCTCTAAATCTGGAAGGCTTCTATGAAAAGCTACCACTTTATTTATACTTTCTTTTCAGCTCTAGAAGCTGGCACCAGAAGTCATGCAAACATATCCTGTGTGTACACTGGGCAGTGCAGAGTGCCCTATTTTTCCAGTGTCTTCTCTAGACTTTGAGCTGTTGATCAGTTGGTGCTACAGTAGGTATTAGAGTGGGATAAAAGTTGACTAACAGCCATCCACAAGGTAGGTGTCAAATTTGTGTATTTACATTAAGAGCTCAGTTTAGCCTGCTCTTCATCAGTGAGGAAAAAGGCATGTGAGACCTACCATAACTGCTAACTTTTTCTGCAACTGTCAGATTATACTTGTTAAAGAAAAAGACTTTAGTGGTCAGAAATTTACCACAGACTAAAACTTCTCAAGTTTTTTTGCCTCTAATTTCATATTAGCCTGCATACTTTGGAGTCTTTAAATCTGTAGGAAATCACAGAAAATGTCTTGCATTCCCCATGATAATACTGGCTCACAGCTGTCTTCTGCTCATAACTGAGGTTTTACATGTAGTCATACAATTGTATAAACTGATTTCCCTTCCACACAAAAATTATTTTGCATTTTCCTGCAAGATGCAGTATCAGGAACGCCAAATCTGATTACAGTTTCCTGCTTAATGGTTGATGTGACATCAGACGTTATTTTTGGCTTATAAAGAGACCATGGAGGCTGCTTCTTAGCATTGGAAAGGGAATTGCAAGGCCAGCAGAAGAGGGGGAGATGTTGGTGTTTGGCCTGTGAAGCAGCAGTGGTATTTCTAGGATATCCACATTTATAACTCGCACGTATGCGAGAGTGGGACAGAAGGAAATCCTTTCCGTGTGGGTCTGATGGTTCCCTAAGTAGCTTCAGCTGTCTAGTTGAAATAACTCACTTGGATGTTTGTTGCCTTTAATCTCATTACTTCTCCTGTGGTTGGCCACAGGAAAATTAATGCAGGCGACCCATCAGGATGCAGTACCCAATGTGTGTATAGATGGTGCTTTTGTGTCCCACAGGCGGGCTGGGATGGGAGCGTGTGGATCTTTCCTGCTCGTCTGCCAGTTCCTGCTAGAGTAAGGCAAGGAGCCTTTGTGGTTCCACTGATTCCCCTTCAGAGTTGTTCCTGGCTGACTGCTTTTGCTGGTGGAGAGCCAAGTCATTTTGGACAGGCTTGGGTTTGTATCCGCTCTGGGAACATTGTTCTGTATCAACATTTCTAGCAGTGAAGTTAAGCGTAGAAAATTGATTCTGCCTTCTCAGTCCCAGGTCTGTTATTGGTATCTTCTCTTTCCCCCTGCCCCTCCCTGGTTGCACTAATGTCTGTGGGGCTAGGCAGTGATACCTTGAAGCAATCTGATATAAAATAACTCAGTGTATCAACAGTGGAGAAGAGGGGAAACTGCATTGCAGGCAAGAGCTGGAACTGTTTCCATCAGTTCTGCTGCTGGAGAGATTGTGCACTGTGTGTCCCACAGTGTGAACCTTCCTTTCCTACCCACTCTTGCAGAGCTTTGCCTGTGAGCTGCCAGGCAGCTGTCAGCTCCTTCCTTTCTTCTCTGCTCAGCTCTAAGGAAAGGAGTAACCTTACACTCATCATCTTTCTATCCAAAACAAAACTGGGAGCCCTAGGTTACCCTTTCCTTGCTTTTCTTACGCCAAGAGCAGCTCAGTCACCTCTCTAGTGAGGAAGCAAACATTGCATTTGGCTGCTGCAAGTTTATTTTTAAACCATCAAGAAACATGCTTCTCGAACAGGGTTTTGCCTGCTGGTATAGTGCAACCAGGAATGCTTATGCTCTCACCTAACTTTTTCTTTCTTGAGGTTTCATGTAGAAAAATATTAATCTTTTTATAACCTAGCAGCAAAAGAAGGATGTGAAATTTTTATTCCATCTTGCAGTTCCTAGTAGTTTGTTTTGTTCCAAGAAATTATGAGCCTGTCTGGTTTGGTTCGTTTCTCTGGCACGATGTGTTTTTAATTTCAGTTTTGTTTTGGTCTGTGAGCAGGAGGCAGAGAAAAAAAACTTGTTAAAGAAATGAGTGTCCCTGCATGTGGCTCTTTCTCGCTTCATTCCTCTCCCCTCTTTTCCCCCTTCTTCCCAGCCCAAATGAAAACAGTGCTGTAGCACATGTGTCAGCTGTGCTGTGGTGACTGAAAGGAACAGCACCAACCAGGATACAGCCTCTTCAGATCTTCATTCATGTTGAAGCACTTTGGAGGAACATGTTTTGCTGGCTGGAGGAACATGGCTGAAAGCATTAAGCAAGTTATGCCTGCAACAGCTTGTAGCAGTGAAGGTGTAAGCTAGTTGGGCTCTAATCTCAAAGAGCCTTTATCACATTTGCTTTACATGTTAAATCTGAAGTTCAAATTGCTTTTGACAAGATTGGCAAAAATGCCTGAAATCTGATTTCAAAATAAGTTGTTGAAATATGAAGGACAAAGAAAAAAAAAAATGCTTCAAAGGCTGTGGTTTGTGGCTTCCATGGGTGTTGCTTGGCCGTAATTTGCTTGTTGTGTTGCAAGGACTGCCATGAGTTTGAAGGCACAGAAGTGCGTGTAGACAGTGGAAGTCTTTCTGGGTAGAGAACTAAACAAAGCCAGCATGTTTCAAGCTGTAGCTTCTTGCTGCTTGTGGAGAAGTTTCCTTTGCATGTGCTCTTCATCTGACTCTGCTTTGTTTTGACATTTAATGTCTAATTGCAGTTAACAGTTACAGTCACAACCAGTACTCAGAAACAGAAGGCAGAATGAGGGCTGGGTTTCCCTGCCAGGTGCTGTTGACACATTTACTGTTGGGTCCTTCTTGTGATCCTTCGGAGGCCCAGAGAAGGATTTTGGGTCTTACAGATGATACATGTTCTAAGTTGATTGACCAGCTTCAACCTCACAGCATTCCCTACTGACGTAAAGAGGGCAAATAAAGGCTGTGCTGAACATTTCTGCATGTACTTTCACATTATTTTCATTAGTCTTTGATTTAAGGTCTGAGATTTTTCACATTTCTGATGTCCACGGACTGAAGTATGTTGCCCTTCCTGATAAATCAGCTAAGTTGACAACATCAATATTAAAAGAATGTGCATGTATGTGCCTTGTAAAATGTAGTTGTCTGTAAAAAGGCACCCAAAGGTACTATTGTTCCCAAGTAGATTTAAACAGCAATTTTGCATCAGCATACTTTCCAGAGCTTGCTAGATCTGCTGCCTTGCTATTATGGGAGAATAACACCTTTCATCTGTAAAGCACGTCTGTTGTTCACTGCTGCAAACAGCTTGTGTTTCACGTGGTCCACTACTTTCACAGATGCATTTTTTTAAAGACTACTGAATTTGTACACTCATCTGCACCAGCTTACACCAGCTTCCGCCTTTACTGGTGCTATGGTTTGTACCCTTGCAGAAAGTGGCAACTGGTTTTAGTATGTGTTTTAATAAGCCTCACTGCTGAAGGGCCTGATTTATCAAATACACAGTCTAGAAAACCTCCATGTAATTGTGTGCTTTGCTGTTTGATACATCTTTGAGCTATTGAAGGCTTTTTCATTAAGCATACTTGAGTTCTTGATGGCTAAGTGGAAATATTTCTTCAAAGAACTAGAAAGAAAAGCCAGCATCCTCAAAAATTAAAAGTCTGGTCTACATGCAGGATGTCTTTGAACGCAGCTGCCCTGTAGCAGAGGGCACGACATGCAGTTTGCAGCTTGTTCAGACAGCTAACGAGAGCCAGGTCTAACACTTGGAGGAGCTGGGATGCTGAGTCCTGGCTTTTTGAGTCTGTTCTTGCCAGGGCAACCAAGCTCATTCACAAGGCTTGAAGAGGAGCAAGGGCTTTCTGTTGGGGGCAAGACATCACTTGGGCTGCATTTCGTCACAGAGAGATGCATAAAATGTGGTTTGTGGTGTTTTTTTCTAAATCACATGAAGAAACAGATCACCTGTGTGGGAATGTCTGTCTGAGTGGGAAGATGCATGTTATTTCAGGAGCTTACCACTTTTTATCTCTTCTTAGCTTTTAGTAAATGTCACTACTTTCTTCTTGTTTAATCCCTTTTTAGTCAAACTAGTAAAAAATAGGTAGTCCTGTATTCCAGGAGGAGAAGGGGTAGCAGACGTGCTTTAGGTGGGTGAAGTGCAAAGTCTGTCCCGTAAAGACTGGGTGTGCCTTGTCTAGCTGTTGTAATAGATGTGAATGCAGCCTCTCTTCCCCCCACAATTTTCTATGTATTTATTTTAACAAATTATTTTCTATAAATTGAACAGCTACAGTTTTAAAGGCAAACCAACAGCCCAACAGTCATGTCTTTAGCCCTGTATTGGCCATCTACGTTGTTGGAAATACCTGCAGTTGCATGTTTGGAGTTGATAGAACACTTGTGACAACTGAGCTCTGTTGACTGACGTTCTACAGTCTTGCCAAGG